TTAAAAATACAGCTGGTTTGGTACATTAATTATAATATGCCACTTTTAGGAGCACAATCCATCAAGGCCTCCTCCTACCTGAGGTCATCCCTCAAGTTATTTGTAGACATTGTACTCAGTTCTTCCGCGGATATTACTCGCGCGTTGCGTGGATGTTTTCGTGGAGGATCTGTTTATGTCGTTTCGTTTCGTTTCAAAGCAAAGGGAAACCTCCAACGCCGTGGGGATGTCTTCTTTGATATTTTGATTACAAGCAAGGGAGCTTCGGCTCTCGGTTTGTTTTAATACATTTCGAAACGTTAATAGGAGTTTAAATAAGAGACGGATGTCCCCTGCGCAAACAATAACAAATGAATGAACGGCAGAGAAATGTTTAGACAGACGAGTGCAAAGGAAACAAACGCCGAAACACAAGCTAGGCAACTGAACAAACAGATGGTCGAAAGTGCAGGCAGACGCTCGCTGCCTAAGCAGCAAAAAAGCAGTTTAAGCAGCAATGGCAACAACGCCAAAGGTAATGATGATTAAAAAAAAAGGACTTAATATTCAACCTACGAATCTCGCAAGAGTTTAGATTCATTCAATTTGTCTTTACTGTCAGAAATATCTCAAACAGAATATGTAAGACATCGTCAAAATTCGAAAAATAAATTTTAAAAATTGGCCGTCGTATAGTTCACGCTCTCTCGAATGTGCGGAATGTGGCTATTTCACGTTGTTGGTTTGCGACCTTTTGTAAACAACGGCAAAGAAATGAACAAAGAATTATAACGCAAGCTTACACAGCCATTGTGTTCGTTGCCGTTGCCGTTTCCGTTAAAGTTTGCTTAATTAAACTCCCTAAAACCGAATGAACGGGTAAATAATGAACAGCCAAACGAGCACAAAACAAACGAAAGCCCGGCCGAACAAAAAGACGGCTGAGGGTGCTGGAAACATCTCTGCTATGAAACAAAATCAAAACATATAAAATGACGTTCCCTCCGCTTCGTCTCAGGTAGTGGCTTCGGCTGTCCACGCATCGCGCGATTAACATTCTCGGAAGAACTGGATACCACGTCTGAAAATAACTTAAGAGGGATTACCTTGGGTGGAAGGCCTGTATGGGGGATTTACTCTCTTACCTTGATAATCTCTTGACCTTATTTATTACCAAAACGGCTAAAAACCCTACTCTGTGCGGCCGCACATACCTGTATAGCCCATATAAGGGAGTACCTCCGGGCACCCTCCCTTGAGTCCCATACCAGTAGGAGTACATGTCCCATCACTTAACTGTATGTTTGGCGAGCCGGAGAAATGAAAGACAAACTAGTTCCATGGCCAATAATTCTGGTGCCTTCAGAAATAAAGGGAAGGGTGCTAGTCCTATAAGGAACTGAGTGAGAAATCGTCCTCTCAGCATCTGTGCACGCTTTGATATGGTCGTTTTTTTGGAAGGTTTCTTGGCCCTATCTTTTGATTTTCTTCATTTTATTCATGGGTCGACCATTAACGGCTGATAACGCGAAAGAAAAAAGTGAATTTCAGTTACATATGCGCTTCCTCTGCTGTATCGGCAACTACTTATATTTTCTGAGGAAAAGTAGGTAAAAATTGAAAAGGTGCAACGATTGTCGTCGTTCGGTCATACTGATAAGATTACACTAGCCCAAAAATTGAATCAATGGGTGACTTTTTCAATTTTTCTTGCCAAATCTATTGATCGGCACGCGCCCTCCTTAGCTGGTAATTGGTCACGTTACAACTTGTGTGACATTGTGACAAAGGCTACTGCAGATTTCGTTACAGAAACGGATCCCGATGTTCATTAAATGCGCTGCATAAGCGCTGATACTAAAATACAAGCATTAAGCATCAAACAGAATTAAAGCCCATTCATCGCAAAACATAGTTCCATTCAAGCGTGTCGTGTTTATTGGAGTCCATTTGACGAAAGCACTTCTCAGTCATCAACTGGCAAGTGTTTGTTGTTGATGTTTTTTTAAATTCGGGCACACAGCCCTCAAGTTCCCAATAGCCAAGGCTAGTAGTAGTACAGGATTCAGTTGCCATTAAATGAGAAATAAAAACTTACGACTTTCGTCTTCTCCTAGTGTTACTTCGATCTGCGGCAGAATTTACGGAAGGAACTTATCGGGACGACGGCTACGGTTAATTTTTGCAGACCGCCATTATTTCTTTTTTGGAATATCTCGCAAGTCTTGAGAATTGATTAACTTAAACGCAACTTTCACCTCAAAACTGGATCTACAGTGTATCCAAGTATTAAAGGAAGCTATTTGCCACTTCTCAGAAGGTCAACAAACGAACCTGAACGGCAGAAGAAGTATTTTCACCGAGTGCAATGGTTATGCAAATGAGCTTTAACACCAGCGATAGTTATGTAAATATACTGACTGTGGCAGATTTTAATCTGCTGTCGCGTGCAATCCAAGAAGATACGCAGTGGTTTGAACTTATAGAACGGTTTATTGAGGTAAGAAATTTGCTGGGATGTGTTTTTTAGCCCTCATTTAGACCCAACTTTTGAGATTTTCTCCCTCAAATTTCACTAAATTTTAGTAGTTGAACAAAGGCCTCAGAGTAGGGTGTCTTCCAGCCTCGCTGGTAAGCTTAGAATTTTCCGAAAAGTTTCCATATTTCGTCAGTCAAAGAAATGAATGTACCTTAGAATTTGTATGAAAACGAAATTCTGTGAGCTGCATTTTAGGGGACGTAGCACGCTTCACAAAATCGTTGAATTGTACCTTTATGATCACGGTCGGCAACCTCCACTCGGCCAAAATTCAATTTTGGCTCGTAGCAAAGCAAAAATGAGAAATTAAAAAAGAATAAATTGCTTTATTATATATATATGTGCCAAACCCTTTTCACGGACAAAAAATGAGGGAAAATTATTTTTGGTCTCGAGGTTGAGTGGACCGCTTTTAGCGGGACTGCCACTTAATACTCTGTTTTTAGTGAATCTTACTTCCTTTGCGATGGTCCAAATTACGTTTGTTAGTAATAAGATTTTAGAAGTATACTTGAATGGGGGGCCGGAAATGTTTCTCTTGATCTAATATATAAACACTAATTTCATTAATTTGCAGTACCCTTACCCCCGGACAATAGGGGGACGTTTGCTCCAGGGGGTTGGACATATGAAATTTTACTCCTGCTAAATTATGGTATAATCACAGGTGCCGAAGCTTGCAAATGTGCGGCCTTGTACATACAATAGTACTTAGGTTATGCAGCGGTCCAAATTTAAAGATTTGTTCTCGACTTGGTTCCCGTGAGGTTTCTAAGCTTTTTTATTCCAATTTAAGAGTTTTTTAACTTCACTGTTTTGTCGTCTATATATCCTAAATATCACATAATTCGGCCTGGAAACCTCATGCACGGGAACTAAGAAAACACACACCTGAAGCAAGGTGAGGTTATCTTTATTCATACTCCTACGTATTTTTTTAGTTTTAAGAATATAACCATTTTTCCGAATCAAATCCTTAAATTTGGACTGTTACGTAACCTGATTACTACTGTATGTACAGGGGCTTGATCCACCCGTTGTATAATAACAATTTGCGAATGCATCCCTGTATTTGTAGGTTATCATTTCCATTTTAAAACTGTTTTTGTCATTATTTTTCGTTTTTGTGAACATCGCTTCGAGGGGTATTAGGGTTAGGAGGGGTTCTTTACAAAGTTTTATACAGGGAGGCTCCGCTCCGAGGTCCAACCCCTTACACTTTTGTGTACCATTTTGACAGAAAAGGTAACCCTTTCGTATACCTTTAATTGAAAAATGGCACCCCTTTCACATGGTTTCATAACTGGACCGTATTCTGAATAAATCGCCAAAAAAGGAAATCTTCTCATTTTGAAGTAGTGCGAAGTCGGGGTTTTAGTTTAAATGCCTCCGGTTTGAACAGCGTTTTCGAAATGTACCCTTTTCGCGACGGATTAGTGCGGATGGTAGGCGTAATCACAGAAATAACGCTGCGCTTTCAAATTTCACCCACGTGGTGTGGACGGGGCCTGAAAGAACTGATCGAAAAAAGTGATTTATCTTTAATGGACGCCGTTTTCGTGCTGAGTATTAAACTTTGAGGGTGTAAAATTCGCCGGGTGTTTTGTTCGCAAGTCTTAAGTTTCGCGATTTCTGTCAATCCTCGAAAATTAACCCAAAAATACAGGCGCGTAAAAATAAGTACGAATAGTTCTTTTGTATTATGCTCTCTAAATTTTCCTCGTAGCATCTGGGTGGGTTTAACAGTTAGCTGAGAATCGGACTGACGCTTTTTTCAACTTATTGCTGAGATCTGATTTCTGCAAAATTTTCTGATCCGCGAAAACGGAAAATTGATAACTAAGCCGATCCAACTCTCTTATCCAGACACTCTACTTAGATTGATTCGATTGTCTATACAAAAGCATATGTGGACTTTCCAAAGCCTGGTACAATTTGGTGCATGTAAGCATACCTTCTTTAAGGCTTAGTGCTATAATGACTTTCTGGAAACAGTCAGCTGCACGTTTTGTATTTTATATAGCTACTTCTTTTCTGCTCGACAGATAATTCGCGCAGATATTTTGCAAGTTGCGTAGTATTCAAGAGCAACGACTGGAGTAAAATGTCCGCTCGTATTACCTGTCAAGCCATGGAATAAGGAATGTCATTTGCGACTGCATCCCTGCATTTGTAGGTTATCATTTTCTTCGATTTTTAACTGTTTTTGGTTCAAAAGTTAGTCATGACAATTCATCTCGTGTTCGAACACATCATTCTGTTTGGAGATCACTCAAGAAGCTAGTTGCTCTAGTTCTGCTGTCCCTCAAGCAACTCTTGTGCTTCTTTCCGCGTGTATCATAATTCGATAATGCACGCTAAATCATAAGGAGCCATGGCAGTATGTAGTTTTTATCATAAACTTTTTTGGATTGCTCACGAGTATCACAAGTTACTCAGTTTTATTGGTTTGGTGAAAAAAAAAATTTACCTTTCTTTGTAGCAAAGACTTTTTGAGAATTACCGACAGGATGGGCAAAAGACTTGATTATTGTGGAAACAAGACCGGTCAAAATCTTCTTGTGACTGAAGACAAAGTGGAAATAATATTTCACTCAGACGGAGAGATCGAGCGAAGAGGATATCTGCTAAATTTCACTCTGGTTTCATTGCCCTCGGTTTCAAACGGTAAGTGGGACCATAAAGAAGCTGATAAAACTTGAAGAATACACCAGGTTTATCTCCCACTTAAATAATTTCTAACATTTCATTTAGAGTTGACAGTTATTTTATGATAATACATTGTTCGTGGCTAGTCTTTCGCCACTCGTTTCGTCCCGGCCAAGGAACTCATCAGAGACCTTTCTGCCTGGCAAATTCCTCGCTCAAATTCCCGTTTGCTAACAAAATGATAACAGAAATCTCGCCTTATATCGCATAAGCTTCTCTGACCGCATTTCATTTCCACAAGAAAAACTGGAACACGAGTTTTCTGCAAAACTAAGAGCAATAGCGTGGTAAGAGACGATGTCTCTTGAGCGTGGTAATTTTCAATACGCCGAAACAGAGCAGTTTTGTCATCGATTGCTATAATGAACGTAAACATTGACATGAGCATTTGGCGTCTTTAGCCGCAAATTCGCGGATTCTCTTATGACCGGGCTTTTGGGCTTTTTAAGGTCTTCTATAGTGACTGGAAACCAAATGAAAATGTTGTTTAAATCAGACGACTAAGTTGAACAAAGAGGACATCGGTTAGTCTTCACTCTGAGCTGGTTTCACCAGCCTCGGTTTCACCGCCCTTGGTTTCACACGGTACTCGGGTGGGACAATAAAGAAGTTCATGATTGAAAAACGTTACTCTGGTTTAAAAATGTAAAA